TAGCTGCTTACAGGTCCGTAAGCACAGAAAATGGGTGTCCATAGGTGTTGTAGGCTTAAGCAGGCCAACAGTTATACAAGTGGTGAATTTGACCCTGTAGTAGACCATGTTCTTCTTAGCCATGTATGAGTAACAGATTACAAGTTACCATGCCAGCATCCACTTACAGAGACAGGCACTTTTGCTGGCCGACAACTCCTAGAGGTACTTTGCAAAAAATGAGTCATTGGCAATGAACCAGCAGCTCCAGTGTTATATCCTCACAGTAAAACTCTCCACAGGGAATGAAGGGAAGGGAAGGGCAATTTCCTCACAGAATTCCTCTCCCGTCATTCCATTGGGATGCCCACCTCTATACCAAGAAGATCCCATGGATTCTCACAGGGTAATGGAAATCAGCAGAAGGCCTGCAACTGCCATGCAGAATCTTTGCTTTCATACTGGCTCTGCGCCTCTGGTACTCTTCACACCCTGCCAAAAGAGAGGCAATACAACCCTGCTGCCAGGGAGTCTCAAGTGGAGCCATGGAAGGAATGTAGAAAAGCAGCTGGGAATCCCATCCCTTTCTTCAGCCATTCTGTGACATTTATATAGAAACAGGAGGCCAATCTTCATTTTCACCCTTACATTGGATAAGCTGGTAAATCAATTCACACAGGGTTTTTACAGGCATATTCCTAAGCCAAACTTTTCCTGCCCATATTATCCCTTCTGAGGAGAAATTCCAGTCTGGATTAAGGAAGGAAAAATACAACTAATTTAACAGTTTAATCTGAAATTCCTCTCGCCATCCTCATCAGTCTGTGGTTTGAATCAAAGGAGAGTCTGAAAAAGGAGTCTCAGATGTAAACTGCTCAATTAAAAAGCACATCCAGATTTGGGTCACTGAGGCTACCTCCAGACTGCATCCCTCTGTTGGCAGAGGGATGCAAATCAAGCACTTCAAAAGTGCAAATGACCCCGGGATTTAAATATTCTGGGCTTCATTTACTTACTCACGTTTTGGCGCTGTGCTGATCACATGCCCTTTCAAAAGTGAAAGTAAAGTCTAGCCGCGGCTCTGCCGACAGCAGGGGAGCACAGGATCTGCCGAAAAAGCTCCCCACTGTCGGCAGAGCTGCGGCTAGACTTTACTTTCCCTTTTGAAAGGGTGCGTGATTGGCACAGCGCCCGAGCGTGAGTATGCAAATGAAGCCCAGGATATTTAAATCCCGGGCTCATTTGCGCTTTCAAAGTGCCTAATCTACATCCCCCTGTCAGCAGAGGGGTGTAGTTTAGACACACCCTGAGATAAGAAAAGCATGGGGACAGGGCTGGAGACAGACTTTGTCAGGCCCTGGGTAATGTGTGTGTGTGGGAGGACAGCTACAGGCTCTCAGAAGGGGCAGGGCCTCAGGCAGAATGGATGGTGCTAGTGCAACCAGCCCTCAGCACTTCCTAGACCACACTGTGTGGGGCTCTGGCAGTGATTTAGAGGACCTGAAGATGCATCTGATGAAGTAGGTTTTACCCATGAGAGTTTATGCCCAAATAAATCTGTTAAACTTTAAGGTGCCAAAGAACTCTTCATTGTTTTTCCAGATACAGGCTAACATGGCTACTCCCATAACATAAGAACTAGGGATCACCAAATGAAATTAATAGGTAGCAGGTTTAAAACAAACAAAATGAAGTTTTCCTTCATGCAGCACACAGTCAACCTGTGGAACTCCTTGCCAGAGGATGTTGTGAAGATCAGGACTTTAACAAGGGTTAAAAAGAGCTAGATAGATTCATGGAGGTTAGGTCCATCAATGGCTATTAGCCAGGATGGGTAGGAATGGTGTCTCTCCCGTTTGTCAGAGGTTGGAAATGGATGACAGGAGAGAGATCACATGATGACAACCTGTTCTGCTCACTCCCTCTGGGGCATTTGGTATTGGCCACTGTCGGCAGACAGGATACTGGACTAGATGAGCCTTTGGTCTGACCCAGTATGACTGTTCTTATGTTCTCCTCTGAGACACGTTACATGAAATGTTTTGCATAAAGCCTTAGGATATGTCTACACTACAAAGTTAGTTCAAACTAATGGACGTTAGTTCGAACTAACTTTCATAGGCACTACACTAGCACTCCGTTAGTTCGAATTAGGAAAACCTCATTCCACAAGGAGTAAGCCTAGTTCGAACTAGCTAGTTCGAATTAAGGGGTGTGTAGCCCCTTGATTCGAACTAGTGGGAGGCTAGCCCTCCCCAGGTTCCCCTGGTGGCCACTCTGGCCAACACCAGGGAAACTTGTATGCCCCCCTCCCGGTCCCGGACCCCTTAAAGGGCCACAGGCTGGCTA